TGTGGAAGAAAGAGCAAGAGCACAGTAACAGAGAGAACCTCAGTGGTAGGGCGCTGAAAGGCTGAGGGTTGGGAGCGGCAGAAAGGCTGAGGAGGCCTGTGTGTCCTTATTTTCTATAAGACTGTATTTTCACCACAGACATTACTTTTTCCAAAAAAAGTAAGAAGCATGTCATATTTGACAGTTTTTCAAGTTTATGGATTTAAGGTCAGAAGGAAATCCAGGACCTCATAAATGTCACATGATAATACATGCGATAACCATTGGCTCAGCAATTTTGTAAACTTGGCTAAGTTCTTGGCTTAGCCCTATGCAATCTCTTGCTTAGATGTTCATGAAAATGTTGTGGCTGTGCAGGACACCTATAACCTTCTTGTAGAAAGGCTATGCATTCCTTAGACATAAAACGTGGGAGGAAATAGTGCTGATCTCTAGCAGAATACAGCCTTCATCATACAACAAGACCCTGTACATTCTATACAACAGGAAAAGGGCCTCTATGCCAAATATAATTATAATCTGCTTACATTGTTGAAATATGCCTTCATTGCTTAAAAAAAATAAAAATAAAAACCCTCTGCCAATAGACTGTCCATCCGGCTTATTTGCTTAGTGTTTTTCTGACCCCATCAAACAAATGTATCCTACTTTAAGAAAACCCACACTTTGAATATCAGTTTTATAGGAAAAAAACTCTAAAGAAGTGCCCCCTTCTTTAATTAGAATTCCTTTAAATATGAAAATAATGAACATTTTAACTATGATTTGATACAAAAAATTATACAGAAATTTCAGGAACATCATCACTGAAGGTACAAGTACTCAGTAATTACTTGCTGGTTGGATGAACACACCTATTGAAAATCAGCAGAGTGAAATGGATAGGAGCGCGGGTTGGGATCCAGATATCCCTGTGTTTGGATTCCCTCTGCCGTTCGTTAGCTGAGTATGACCTTCAACAAGTGACTGAACTTCCTAAAACCTCAGTATTTCTTAAAGAAATAAAATGAGTGAGTAATGCCTCCCTTGTAGTTAGTTGGATTAAATGAAAGATATAGATAAATGCAGGTAAATGAAATATAGGTATATTTTATCGTGTATTATATTTTATCATGTATTATAATGTCATGTATTATTTCCCTCATTGAATTTCTGCTTGCCTGAATGGGAGCAAATGAATGGCAAGAACAAAACTTAAGTGTTAGTATGTTTTCGGCAGTATAACATAAGTACTTATGTATCATAAACATAATTATATATATGCATAGCACCAGCACAGTACCTGGCACATAGCAAATATTTGGTAAATGGTGGTTACTATTGTGAAAAATAGCACAAAGTACTCTGAGGGTCTGAATGATTTCATATCCGTGAAGTCTAATTTTTTGCATAACATTCCAGGATATTTTATTGCACTGGAACAGGATGATTAAAAGACTGTGTAACTGAGATTTTATGGCCTTAAAGTTATGGGAAAACAATTAACAGACATATAAGTGAATTGTGACAGAGATTCAACTTGTAACAATTATTAACATGTATTGAGTGTGACAATGAGTCATTCAGCAGAGTAAGTACTGGGACTTAATATCCTCCCTGAATTTACTTCATAGTATTACCTGCTTCCTACTTTCTTAATTAAAAATATTAAATGTAAATGTTTTATTTAATTTCCCAGGCTAAAGCAGAATTTTACTTGCTTGGAGTGGGAAAGGCAAAAATAGTACAAATTGCTTCCAATTTAGAGACTAAATGAGTGTTTTCCCACAGATGGCCAAAGGTCTCTTTTCCTTTTTTTTTTTTCTTCCAATTTTCCAGCCTTTTCCCCCCTTTCCTTCTAACATTTGTAGTTTGTTTAATAAAAGTTGAGAATTCTCACAAAGGGCCTTATAAACATGTGTTATTAGATTTTAAATCTGATTTGAAAGTGCCCCTCTCCTGCTCCCTCTGAGTAAAGTGACCTTTTTAAATGGAGGGAAGTGGGTTTAGATGACAGTCATGATAAATGCGGTCATGTTCACTCAATAAAATAAGGCCCAGTGCATTTGAGGATAAATCAGTGAAATGTACAGCCCCACCTGTCTGTCTCCATCATTCATTTCCACTGTCACTTTCACAGTGGCTGATGGATCACAGTTGCTGTAAAATTAGACAGCCTTTAATCTCATTTCATCCTGATTAGCTTCTCTTTACCCTTTCCCTCTAACTCACTGACTGACACGCTAAAAGCTCACACTGGGCTGCATGTGAGCACGGAGCACAAACTTCTCCTCCAATGCCTGCCTGCCTGCGAGGGCGAGGTCAGTGTCCACCCCTAGAGAAATCCAGAAAGGTTCAGGCATGTACTCTTTGTTACTTAAAAGGTAATCAATAAGTAGGGTGCCTAATGCCATTTAAACAGATGTTTGCCCTTGTTCACTGCCCTATTTACTCTGTTTTCCTTCAGGTTTAATCCAAAATCAAAGGAAGTGGGTCTTTTGCAAAACTGAAACATTGATTTAATATAGATTTCCTTCTGATAAATATGGAGCGTTTTACATTCAGAATAATTTCAAAGAGCTTTTGTGTATATTTATAGCCTCTCAATTTGTGGTAATAATTTTAAAAAGACAGTAATTCAGGAATGAGATACTGAAATACTCTGACAAGAAATACAGCACACAAAGTTTAAAAACCAGAGTAAATATGTGTAGATAAATAAGAATACCTTCAAGTAACCTTTATATTAGAACATCAAAGACCTTCTCTCTTATTTTGGAGGTTTCAATAGTTAGCGCAATAGTTTCATTTGTTTGCATAAAGCATAACAATAGGGGTAATCAAATGAAAAAGAGGCTTAAGAATAAATCACCTATTATTTCCTTCACTTAATTTCTGGTTGCCTGAATGGGAGCAAATGAATGGCAAGAACAAAATACAAGTGGTGTATTTTCAGAGATAGGGCTGTATTATAAAGCTGGACTTCTAGTTAAAAAGAAGATAATACGGGTTTTTATTACTTATAAGATTTGGACATTGAATGGACCAAGAGTATAAAATAAATATTGGAAGAGTGGCTGTCATAAGGGAAGTTGGTTATAGCCAGTGGCCTCTATTTTTACACTCATTTCTCATCTGAGTAGATGCATACAGATGACAATCAATGCTATACGTTTACACTGGCCAGATGACACTATGATGAACTGAGCAGCTCCAGGCTGCTCATGATATACATACGTGATGGGAAGCATAAGGGTTGGCTTTTTTTTTTTGTATTTTGGAACCATCATCATAATCCAAATAATGATGGGTTAATTTTTTTCAAAAAGATGTTCAAAACATATCCAATTTTAGTTGCTCAATGAACCCAACATATATTCTGCCTCAGATGGATTCAGCAGAATCTATATGGTTAAAAGCATTTCCCAAAGAGACAATTGAGGGTTGGGGGGACCAAGGACATTCCCAAGATGACTCGCTAAGCCAACTGACCTAATTAATGGACCTCACAAATCCACCGCACACCCAATTTCTTCCACAGTATCTCCTAAATCAGGGATTTGTATACCAATGCCTTCTCCCTTGTGCAGATAAGTTCAAAAACAATGAATAGTCACGGTAAAAAAAAAAATTTTAATGATAAAATAATCAAAACTCCTAAAATCCTGTAGTGAAAAGCTCCAATGATCTGATTTGCTCTCTCAGAAACTGTACTATAGGTTTCAAAGCTTTATCTGTTTCCTATTATTTTTATTTACATATCTTAGCCTGCTATGCACCTCCTGAGAAAAATTAAAATAGAAAAAGAAATGAAATGATAGACATGTATCACCGCAAATGAGTTGGGTATAAGACAGGTGTGCTCTCTCTTTTTCCCTCTCTCTCTCCCCATTGGAAAAAGAGTGCAGAGCAAGAGCTGGCCTTGACTCATATTGATTTCCCACTGCACTGGTTTCTTAAGTGCTCTGTTGATCCGTGTCAAGCAATAAGTTCCCTGCCTGAACATGCACATCACCTCCCCATTTTTCCTCACCTAGATTTAAGGTGCCCATATGATGAGCTGAACAAGGACATCATTTTTACTACTGGTGTCATTGGGCCCAAACCGCTGCATGCGTTATAACTAGCCCTGTGTCCGTTTCCATTTACCACATGATATTATGACAGCAGAGACTAACACTGCATAGCACATGGGGTACCAGGGGGGTCCTATGCTGGTTGTGTGTGTCTCCCAAATAAAAATGTAAATGAGAACAAATACAGAGAAAGCTGGCTTTCATGGGTTTCTGAATAACACTCCCTCCCCACAGCCACCAGATTGGGGCAGGGAGAAGGGCGAGATGAGGGGAATGAATATTTGTGATGTTCCTGACAGTTTTTGTCTTTGTTACAGAAGAGCTCCTAAGCAGATAGATAGAAAATGTGTGATTGTGCTGCTAATGACATTGTACAGGAAATTAAGCGTATACATTTGGAGAAGGCATTAAATCAGCAGGACCTTAATTTAAAAACTTAAAACTGTATGGAAATTCAGCTTGCTCATTGCTGTGGAATAGAAAGCTACCAAGCACACTGAGCCTGTTTATGGAAAGACTGCCAGCAAACCAAGTTCGGGCAGAGCATCTTAATGGCTCCAAGTGTATGCAGGGTTGTTTCTTCCAAGAAGCAACCCCAGCCCTGACCATTTGCGAGTTTCAATCACTGCTTTGCAATGAGATCCCCATCATCAGGCAAGTGAGGAGAACTTAAGAATTGAAAGCAGCATGACAGGTTGTTCTTGACTAATTTGTGGAATAACATTATGTAAAATTAATCAAAAGGGGCTGGGTGTGCAGTTGCTGGGAACACATCATTGAGCCACTGTGGACTGGGGGGGTGCCCCGCTCTGCCGCTTGGCCTTCTTCTTCCTACTGACTTCATCTCACATTTTATACACTTTGGTGAAAACAAATAACTAATGAGCCAATGGGCAAGTTCTAAGATGGAAAATTTCACACATCTTTTTTTCTTCTTAATTCCAGTTATGCCGTACAACAGTGCCCACCACTGCGTTGTGGAGGTGGAGAATTTCTTGTTTGTGTTGGGTGGAGAGGACCAGTGGAACCCTAATGGTAACTATTGAACAACGTAATAGTGGCTGCTCAACAAGTATGTGTGCGGTGAAAGGCACTAACAACAGTCCATCCCATAATGACTATGGAGAATATGTATCTGTGCAGCAGGGACAAGCGAAGTAGTCAGTGAATTGGGCTGACAATTGGAAGGAGGGTCAACCACTGAGCTAGCAGAGGACTGCGCAGCAGAGCATTCACTCATTGACTGTCTAGGGATTTAGCTTCGCACTGACGCCCCCGCCCCTCTCCTTATCCATCCCTTGAGGAATGCCACAGCACAGGCGTGGACTCCCTAGAGGCAGGTGGTAAGCTGCAGCTATTTAGAATTCTGACCACCTTCTCCACCACTCTTCTCCCGTTTTACCAGTGTAATAATGCAGTTTCAATAATAAGGCAACTATCTGCAGCCACACTGCACATAACCTTCGCTGAAGTTCTTTTGCCACATTTATTACTCAAGACCCGTTTGACTTGCCCCGCTGTTTCAAGAGCTTCTTTCACAGATCATCCACCGTCCTCCCTGTTGATGTGATTATTTCATAAATTTATCGCAAAGAGAAATCAAACCCTTTAATACATTTCCCAAGCAAAACACAGGGAAAACACCGTGAATTGCACAATACGCAAAGTTATCAAGATATTTTTGGAAAGCTTGCACATGAAGGAGGAGTTGCAGTTGTAGCCTTCTGTGTAACAGAGATAATTATGACTGAGAAACCATAAAACAGCTTGCAGGTACACATTTTTACTTTAAAACCCCAGAACATCCAGATGAAATTACATATACTGCATATATTTTATTGTGAATGATCTCTTTCAGCATCTGCACCAAGGCAAATTATAGAAAATTGTTACATCTGTTCACTCTAGAAAATCTTAAAGGAAAATAACCCAGGCCACCCTCCAAGAACACTTCTTTGAAAGGAGGGGCACATTCTTTCTCAGGTCCTGCAACTTTGTAGGTTCACATCTTTAATGGTAGGAAAGGAAACAGTTCCTGGGCTTTGCGAAACAGATTTGGAACAGGAGCAAAAATGATATGCAGTACCCCTCCTCTAACTTTTCCCCTGCAAACTCCCCATTTACTGTTTAACCTGTCTTTCCTTAGGAGTGATTTCAACTGAGTAGAGTATTTGTAAGTAAACAGGCAGTGCACTGCAGAACCTTCTTTTTAAAGGCCAGATTAAAACTAAGCCATGACCCCAAAAAACTCTGGAAAGCCCTGTTTCTGATGGCAGTGCTCTCTCAGCCCACCCCTCTTCCCAGGTGGAATGAGCCTCTGTCCAAATACCAGACTCAGCGCCACAACTCAGTGTTCACAAAACTTGACGAACCGACCATTCCTATCCATTCCTATGAGACAGACCATAATCAACAATGCAGACAGCCTGCTCCCTAGGTTCACATCTCCCCAATAAGACCTGTAACTGCTTTCTGTTCAGCTTCTATCAAATGCACAGCTCAGAGGATTGGGTGAGGGAATTAGGGGAGAGTTAATGGACATATTCCTTCCTCTACCCTAGAGAATCAAGATTTTGTCTTTGAACTAATTCAGACTTCCATAAACCTGTGTCCCAGGACCTCACTGATTTGCCTTCCTCCACCCCCGAGAGGAAGAGCAATTTGCTTTAAAGCCCTCAGCGAATATGCTGTGAGAAAAAAACTATTGAAAGCACAGCCCTGCATTTCCTGTAGGGACACCTATCACCACCCGTTGTGCTCCATGGGAAGACCCACAGACACACTCTTGTCAGACCAAAGTACTGAGTCACTGTTGAAAATTGTGACTAATGCTAGTCCTGTGACTGAATGTGAATGTTCTCTTTTGCCCTAGCCCCTGAGAGGTTCAGAATTGAACTTTAGTACTTTTAGTCTCAATACGGGCCTGGTGGCTCACTCCCTCTTTCTGTGAGACCCTTTTTAAAGCCTTGGGCGTTCCACCTGCAATGCTGAGACATGCTGTCCCTGGCTTGTTTGGCATGTGAAGTCACTTAGTATACATCTGGGAAAATGCTGATGAGCCACTGAGTGGCCCTCCTAAATACAGAGAATTGTTACACTGTGAGGCAAGCAGACCCTCTTGTCAATCAGTCGGTCTCTAGCTGAGGCCTTCTCCCAGGTGCTGGATGAGGACGAGCAGGGAGGTAGCCTGTTCAGCTGCGGGCAGTTCTCCAGAGGGGGTGCACTGTGACCATGAGCACCCAACACTCACAGCAGGTAGGAAATGAGGACACCAGTCTGGTAAAGAGATCTGGACCAGCAACCGAAACACGCATTCACTGCAATCCCTTCAATATTTTCCATGTAGCTTTGTGTACCAGCCATCTGGTAAACCACAGCTGACCCCCCTTTTTTTTTAGCATTAGTCGTAATATTTATTGAGTACACATGTTTGCCAGGAACTTTTTGCTAAGCACTCACCTGATCGTTTCACTTAATCCTCACAACCATCCTGTGAGGCCTACTCCATGATTGCTCTATTTCTACCATGAAGAGACTAAGCCTGAAGAGATTAAGTAACTTTCTAGGTCACACAGCTTGCAAGAAACTGAGCTGATTCAATGTAGGTCTGTCTAACTCCAGGGCCTTAGTCTTTAAACCACGATACTACACTGTCTTTTCAGACAAACATATGTATTTGGATAGATATGAAACAAGTCATTTTTTTTCATTGATCTTGTGAAGTTAAATCTGTATTGTTTCACAATGGCAAGTGGTTCTCGCTTTCTAGAAAAAAACCTCTTCATCATTCCCCAGTTAGGAAACCAAAAAGGAAATAAATCATCTCAAAAATATGGGATTTTCATATAATACCTCAAGCAATCAAAAAGTAAGCATTTGATACCAAAATTTACAAAGGATAATAATCCCAAGAAAGCATATAGCATGTTTTAATTTCATTTCTGGCAAGGAGGAAAAATTAAAAATCCACAGGTTGAAATATTATGTATATGTCAGTTCCAAAGATGGAATCTACTTAAACTTCAGTTCTTATGAAAATGGTGCCTGAGATGCATATCTTTTAATGAAATACAAAATTGAAAATTTCAGTATTTGCTCATAAAACACAAATACATACTCATAAGACACAAATTTATTTATCAATTGTCTTGATTATAAGACCAAAATTTAAAGTTTTAAAACATGTTAGTTACTGGAAATATAAACAGGATATATTTTTTTCTCCTTAGCCATAGATATTAACTCCTATTAACTTCCTTCATGTCATTAGTGATAGAAATCCACTATAATATTCTAATATATATGCATATATTCCATCAGTGCCCCAGCTTACAGAGAACCAATTTACATTGGTCACTTGCTGATGACTGACTCCCAAAATACTGCTCGTGGGGACTTCCTTTCCATCCCATTTTCTTCCACTCCACCACTGGCTGAAAACTGCCACCCCTTGCTACATTTTTCCTATCACTTAAGTAACAGTCAACAATGGTGCCTGGTGGTAGGGAATTACCACAGAAAGAGAAGAAAAGGAAAAAGAGTTAAGAAAAAAATGGAAAAGATAAGAAAAAAAACTAAAACAGTGAAGAGTAATCCAGAATTCCACTGGATGTGGCCAGCACTCTCAAGCTGCTAATAGGGTCTCATTGGAAGCCACGAGGATGGAGTGAATAACCTTATTCAGTCTCACGTCCCTCATTCCACCACACTCATCCCCTCTGAGGTTCATTACATTCTTTGCACATCCTTTGCCAACTCCAGAATGTCTTCCTACTTTTTAGCTCCCCAATCCATCCTTGCCCCTTTTGGTACCATTGACCCTGTCTCTGGAAACTTCTTTTATCTCACATGCATATCACACCAGATCCTGCATAGCCTTTTCCCTGAGTGAAGGCTACTACCATTACTACCAGAGACAAGCATTCCAGTTTCTACCACCACTGCTCAGCATGTGAAGGCAATCTCTGCCCTGTTACAGAGAGGAGGCAGACGTCTTCTTCCAAATGGAAGTTCTAAACAAGATTTCATAGAGAAACATTCTCTACAAAGATTCCCTTTGTAAACCAACTAGACATCATTGTTCCTTGTGATGGAGCCTCTCTTTGTAGAATCCAAATCTTCTGGATTATTCTCAATCCAAGAACTCTTAACTCTTTCTGTACATCCCCAAATAAAACCTCAGTTACCACCTAACTAGATCATTCGAATCCTCCCGCATGATCCTTGAAACTCATGATCTCACACCAACAAAATCCCAATAGTCCTTAAACTCTCCTTTGAATGCTTCTTTCCACTTCTCTTCTAATCATAACCTGGCTACTTCCCCAGCCACCCTCTCTTAATGGGGACTGGGTTTTCCAACCTTCTCACTCTTCTTGTTATTGGAAGCAGGTAACTTTTGGACTTCCTCTTCACTGCCAGTCCCGCACCATTAAAACTCACCACTATAAAGGATGTCTCCAGATCCTACCACCTGCTGCCCCTTTTTGTGGCAGCTATCCACTGTTTTCCTGATAATGCCACCTGCTTACTTGACCCCACCACTTTCTCGCTGTCCCTATCCCCTCCTGTTCTTATTCCCTTCCTTACTGAGTTTATACTCTATTGCTCAGCCCTATCATCCGTCACACTAACACATACACCTGCAATCCTTGTGTCCCCCTCCATCCTTCACACGTATCTAGTGAGGCCTTGGTCCTGGTTAAATCCACTCTTTTCCACCTCTCCCCTGCCCCTGAGCAACTAAATGTGGATATAGAAAGCCACACAGCCACTCTGACGACTAATGCACCATTACTGGCTACCTCCACTTAATTTTCCTGGTCAGCGCACCCTCCCACCCTCCAGGTTAACCATTCCACACCTTCTCTCTCAAAGCCTTTCTCCAAAACCTCCCTCTTCACTCGCAGTGGATAGGTTATCTTTTTACTTCCATTACAATAGGAGAGATCGGAAGCTAAAAATCTTTATCTTGCTACTACCCAATCTATGCACTTATTACTCTATCCTTTCTCCTATTACTGTTTCTGGTCCAATCTAAGGCCTATCCTTTATACCCTCTTGCTTGCTCAAGCACCTTCCAATCCTCCCAAACTTAAAAAACAAACAAGCAAATAAAAGTTTCTCTGGATGTGGCATCCTCTGGCTGTAATCTTCTTTTTAGGGCAGAAGTTTCTCTGCTTTCTCCCATTTCAGTCACCAGGGAGGAGTCCCCACTAAGGCTTTCCTTCCCTCCCTCCCACAGGCACGACACTGGCAAGGCCACCAGCAGCCTCCATGCTGCCGAATCTTAGGGTCAGTTCTCAGGTGCTAATGCCCCATTTTGAAACACTATTTGACACAGCTTCCAAAGTCCTACACTTTTCCTCCTATCTTTGCCAATTTCTTTCCTTTGCTAGTTTTCCTTCTCTAACCCAGGGCTAATTCCCAGGATTTATATTACCTTCCATTTATATACCCTCACCCTAAAGGGATTCCATTCTGTTCTATGACTTTAAATAATATTTCTGGAATAATAGCCTCCAAATTTGCACCTACACCCTCAGTTAGCCAATGTCCTACCAGGTACGTCCACTGTGAGGTCCCGCAGGCTTCTCAAGGTTAAGTCCAAAACAGAACTCATGACTTCTCTCCCCAACTCCAAACTAATCCTGCCTGGTCTTCCCTGAAATCCAGGTTTTTAGTTACTCAAGCTGAAAACCTGGCAAACTTCCTTAATTAATTCCCTTTTATCTCATACTAATAATTAATTAGCAAATAATTTTTAGGTGTTTCCATACAATAGACCCCAAACCTGACCATATCTCATTGCCTGCACCTTTATTCAGTGACCCCCTGAGGGCTCCCCCGCTCCAAGGGTGGCCCCTCTATAATCTACTCTTCACGTAGCAGTCAGAGTAATCTTTGTAAAAGATAAATGAGCCCATATTCCTTGATTGTTCAAAAACCTCCAGTGCCTCCGTATTGTTCTTTTATAACAAAAGGCACAATCCTATACTAGACCATGGGGCACGCTGTTCTGGACCTTACACCTCTCTGACTTCTGTCCAAGTCACCCCAGCATCCTTGCTGGTTTTGAATTCAGGGACTTTATACTCGCCGGCCTCACTGCCAGAGCGGCTCATTTTGCAGATACTCGCAGGGCTTGCCAGGCACCTGTGGCCATTCTACTTAAACCATCCTCCGCTCTGTAGAATCTTCCTCTACTTGATAATACGTTATATATTTGTTTATTCGTTTACCGAAACAGGAATTTGGCCCTTTTTTCCCCAATATAGTCTCAGAATATAGAACAGAAGCTAGAACAATAAGAAGCGAGAACAATAAGATACATAATAAATGCCTAATATATAATTGTTCAATTAATAATTGTGTTTTGTATACATACCTATGTGAAAACATGCATGCACACATGGCACATTCACTCATTTCTGTTTATTCCTGTGGCCAAGTTTGGTACCTATATTTTAATGGGTAAGTTACACATACATGACAAAAAGCAGGCTTTTTGAGTTAAGACTTCAGGTGCTTTAGATGATTGTCATCTTAGGCGCTACACAGAAAATGGAATGCACTCTTTGGCTTCCATTTCTTTGTGTCGACCTGTATGTAAAATGAGAATGATTTTCAAACCTCAGAGGCATTACTGTGCTTATTAGGTGCAACAGAGGAGATAAGCTGGTTAACTAGCTCCAAGGACTCACAATTCCCATTCAGCGCTTGTACCTGCAATAGGTCACAGCAACTGTACTTTCCTCAAATACACACACAGAACTTACACAGCACACATACATTAAAACTGATTTCCTTAAAACTCTTATTGTAGTGATTGCTGTTATTTCTCTGGTTAGAGAGTGGACTCTACCGCTGCCAGAATTATTCATTCATTAAAAAAAAAAAGGCAAACAAAAGCAACCCTCTAATCAGAGATATCATGCAGGGTAGTCTCTGGAACTGATTATTTATAGGCAGTAACTTCATGTGTTGAAAGCATAAAATCACCAAACCCCAGAAATTGTTAACCTAACTTTGGGATAAAATTGGTTTGAGAAACATACTATCTTTTATTATTATGGTGGATTTATTTTTATTCTAACTTGTTTTCTAAAAAAGGACAGAGGAGAAGTGAGAAAAAAAGGAAAACCTTGGGGGTAGCTCATTTATTCTTCTGCTGACTTTATCACTTCTCACACCGTGGTAGATGCTCCCTCTTCTTAATTCATCTACTTGTTAAACCTGAGAACAGAGGCATCTTATAAAATACTATCAAATGTGGAAAACAACAATGAAATCTAAGTTTTAAGTGTCTCAAATATATTTTTACAGGAAAACACAGTACCAATTTTGTCAGCCGATATGATCCCCGATTTAATAGCTGGATACAACTTCCACCCATGCAAGAAAGGTAAGCGTTTATTTCTTGTGTCTGAAACATTTGTGGCTGCTTTACAGGGAGCATGAGGCTGACTGGTTCCATGTTAAGGTATGTTAAATGGAATCAATGAGAGGCAGATGGGGGGAAATACAAAACTTGGCTGGGCCAATGTAGATTGACTGCCTTATCAACTCAATGGAGAAAAATAATTTTTAAAAAGTCAGTTATTTATCCTAATGTAGGAAGAAAAAAAATTGTATGACTTTTCTTCCTTTACTACATTGCTTTGATTTTTTTGGCAAGCAGAGCTACCACTTACTGGCTATCCCTCTCTCCTTGGTTATGTATGACATATTTAAATCCTACAATTGAAATATAAAACACTCTTCTCACAGGGGTGTGCATTTTAATGAAGAAATTTTAATATTAAAATTTTCAGGTCTCACTGACTCAAATCCTTTACATTTGCCTCTTCAAATATCTTTCCATCATACATACAAGAACAGGTCATTTGTTAGCTGTAAAAAAAAACACAGTTTTGCAAGGTATCCTCTCATTTTTTATGTACAGTGTTTGTCTCACCCAATTCTCCTAGCACCAAAGGACAAGATGACAACTACATTTATACCTATTTGGCTTTCCTGACTGTTACTTAGGCATAAGCCCGTGTCTTGATATGCCTATGTTAATTCGCATGCTTAGTTTTGAACACTTGGTTCTTTTCAAATAATACCTCGACATCTTCTTAAGCAAATTCTTCATTATAATAGGAACAATAACCTACAGCCTATTTTCTCAATTGAATTACTTAAATGATAAATATTCTTATTTCTTTCATGACCCTTCACCTTAAAATTTCCTTTTTTAAGCATTCAACCTGATTGCAGAGATCAAATTAGATCCTTAATTATAAATTCCAAGTGAAAAAGAAATTTTCTGATCAAATCATTCTTTCAAAAATGGACATTACCACAGGAAGACTATGACTCTATGCTGTAAAGAAACTAACTTTCTATTCCATATAAATAATTAAAATGTTCATTCAGGAGACTAAAAGCTATACACTGAAAATAATGAGGCACAACATATTAAAAGTACCCAGGCACTTTTAGGAATGTCTAATTCTAAGGTACCCCAAGAAATTATTCTAAGTTAATGTCCTGACAAACTTCTCAATCTTCCTGCTTATATGCAGGGATACTTAAAAACCTCCTGATGTCTTTCTCTTTGTTCCTTCCTCCTGGGGGCTGTTTCCTGGTTGCTGTTATTATAACTGCCATCACTTGACCCTTTAGTCAAAACCATTCAAAAAAGTTTTCCTTAAACAATATTTCAAAAATAAACATCAATAACATATTTGAAATGTCAGCATCTCATCACCCCGGCCCCCTTTGCTGGGGGCTGTACACCACGATAATTAACCTTCACGCCTTGGATTTGGGAGGCATAACTCACGTCGCGGTCAATTATCTCATTCTAGAGCCCCTAAGGATGAGAAGTATTGCTGCAAAACCTAATTAGTAATTTTTTTTCAAATGTGTATTGTTTACTTGATATTCTATAATGACTTCCTCTGAGGCACCATGGCCTATCATGGCAGGGTCTTACTTAGACAATTTTTAGCAGCTCATTGACCTGATAAAAAGACCTGCCATGGTCTGACGGCGCCCGGCAGCCACCGTTGACAGGATGGACTGTTTAACGTTTCTTTCTAAGTCATTATGGTATATCATGTCAGGTCCCTAGTAAGAGAAGTTTGTTTTTTTTTTATATTTAGAACAATCAACTCGATAGACCAAATAAAGAGCTCCTAACAGAGCAGAATGGAAAAAGGCAGCTCTCATAGCTGCCCGGTCAATCTTCCAGCTTTGTCTCTCCTATGGGGTGGCCGACCCCGGCAGCAATCCATAACTTAAAATGAAATTTTTCTGTCATTGCTGAACTTCCATTCAAAATAGCAAGTACAATCAGTTACTAGCGTGGTCTAATTGGTGATTAAACAAAGAAGAAAAACTAAAATATATGAGACAGGTTTCAGATCAGATAATAATTTTCTTAAACATTTCATTGAGTTGATTTTGCATTGTGTAGCTTATAAATCACTCACCAGAAGTTCTCCACCCCACCCCACATCCGTTAGCTGCTACCAAACTGCTGGTAAATTACTGAACTGATTGAAAATAATAGAAAGAAGTTGTAAAATGCTCTGGGGTAACACATTTTTATGGAACTGGCTGTACAGATTCCTAAGGTATCTTACCTAATTGGAGCACCCAAAAGAGTGCAGAGAACCATCCCAATCCAGCTGGGAAATGGGCGCATTGCCTCTAGACTTCCTGAGCCATGGGTCCACTCATGAATTGCCAGCCTGCTATCTATGAATTTACTGACAGAAATGATTAAATAAAAATATGAATTTAGATAGCATGCAGATGAATTGTTTGGATTTGAGTCTTCAGATAGAAGAAGAGAGCAAAAAGAAAAACTTGAATCAATAGAAATGCTTCATTGACCTTACTTTTTTAAATAAAAATAGACATTTTAATTATTATTCCTATGGAGATCATACTCCCTAGCTAGTCTAGGGGGAAAAAAAGAAACAGAAAAAGCAGTTTGGAGAAAAAAAACAAAGCATATGTTTTACAGAATATGTGAAATCTAGAAGCAAATGCATCAGAAAATTTCCAAATTTAACTATTTTGTTTCTAGAAACCTACAAGAAACAATGTGAGAAAATATTCTCTTTGAAAAATCTATTGTTTTAAAGCAGTGATGAAACTCAAAAATTGAAGCTGAGATAAAGTTGTAATAATTCAATCTCATGCTGTAGGATATAAACTGACCACCCTAAGGGTAAGAAAGGACTTGGACAGACATGGACAATACCCAGGATTCAATGCGTGTTTGTAGAACTTGTATTAGTCCTTTTTAACTTATGTCAATACATTGAATATTGCCTGTGGTGGGGTAAGAGGGCTGTTGTAAGAGGAAGAGATGAACAATTTAAAACACAAACAGTGTAATCCCATTAAGGAATCATTAATAATCTTAACTTACTTTTCCAAAAATAGCCTAAATAGCCTAAACCAGGCATGATCTTCACGTGGAGAGACCAGGCAGGGAGCATTTCCAAGAGACCTGGTATGGTAAAACTTGAGCCTCAAGCAGACGTTCACAATTGCTGACAGACCATTAACCAGTGCTTCTACAATGCATTTCATGAATTCTCACTTTGGGCAGGCAAGGGATAAAGTCAGAGACTCAGAATCTTCCCTACTGGAATTTCTATATAAAAATGCACTTTCGTCAGGAAGTGAAACCTACCCTTTTGTGTTTGCCCCCTCCCCTTTAGATCCTAACAGTGACACTCTGTGGATAAAGCTAGGAATACACATAGAGCATCAAATTAAGAACACCTCAGCTAAAAAGAGAGCAAGCTCTGGCAGGCTAACTCGCTGTCACAATGAGGGAGGGAGGGGGAGAAGAAAGAAAAGTGAGAAAATTGAAATTTATGCTAGATTAAAGGAGTTCACATTTTCAAAAAGAGATCTTTCTCTTATTCTTCACTATTAAAACTTCAATAAAGGGTTTTAATACTTGTCATGACTGATGGGCATTTTCTCTTAGAATAATACATAATACATAGGAAAACTCACCACCTTACAACCCACGTCGTCCAAATTATTTTAAAATGGCACATTAGTGAAATTAGTAAACCATTTCAGAGGCTCCGAGGCCTGACATAGAATCATATGGGAGAGAGACACTGATCTGCCCTGTGTCCCTGGTGCAAAGAAATATCTACGTACAGATTCTTGTAGACGTGCGTCAGTCTTTTCAATGAAACAGTTTAACTGAGAAAGTGAAATCACTAGTAAAATGATCTTGACTTTCATATTTCATTAGAGAGCAATTGAAATCTGGCTAGAGAAATGAAAGGAACCAGCAACTCATCTGTATGCACTTAATTTTGCAATCGTTTTTAAACCTAATTTTGGTATTTCAATGAGTTTTTACTCCTTGAGTAAAGGAAGTCCCAAATTTTTTAGGTTTGCACTCTTTTGCAAATCTGATTAAAGTTTCCTCCAAAATCCTTCTCCATATTCTTTCCTAAAATACACATATGCAAAACACATAAATACAACATTTTATTACAATTTCAGAAGGGCTTCTTGGACTCCTCAGAAGACATGGGCCCAGGTTATCCACATTTCCTTTGTGAAATCTGTCTCTCCTGCTCTTTATCCTCCCTCCTACTTTTTCCCTTCCTCTTCCTTTCATCATGGTTGTTCACCATCCTTCTGAATTCTCCACAGGACATATATTTTTCAAAAGCATCAAGAAAATAAAGAAAAAACAAACATAGCCAGATATTACTCTAAAGTTAATATTAATACTAACAATTTCAGGACTATAAAAAAATAACTGAACCATATGATCCCACAATCCCACTACTGCATATATGCCCAAAGGAACCAAAATCTGTATCTTGAAGAGATAGCTGTACTCCATGTCCATTGTAGCCTTATTCGCTAAATCCAAAATGTGAAAACAACTTTGTCAACAGATAAATGGGTAAAGAAAACATGGTATATGCATACAATAGAATATTATTCAGCCATAGAGTTGAAGAACATCCTGCCATTTGAGACTGAAAGTCATTATGCTAAGTGAAATAAGCCAGATGGAGAAAGACAAACTCTATATGATATCATTTATATGTGGAATCCAAAACATGTTGAACTTAAGGAAATAGAGAATAGGGTGGCTGTTTCCAGGGGCTAGGAGTAGGGAAAAGGGGGAGTGATTGGTCAAAGAATACAAAATTTTAGTTGTAAGATGAATAACTTCTCAGGATCTAATTTATGTATGGTGACTATAGTTAATACTGTATTGTATGCCTGAAATTTGCTGAGAAAGTTGATCTTAAGTGTTCTCATCAAAAAAAGAAGGGGAGGGTAACTATGTCAGGTGATGGATGTGTTAATTAACCTCATAGTAAGAATTTTGTTACAATATAGGCATATATTAAATTATCACAATTTATACTTTAAATATATTACAACTATATTTGTCAGTTATACCTCAATAAAACTGGAAATAAAATAAAACTGAATACATCACTATATATAACATATACTATACTTACATGGTAATAAATTATCTACACAAATATTAAAGAATTTGTTTTTACTTAAAATACAGGGGAGCAAAAGTAGGTTTACAGTTGTGAAAACATGAAACAGAGTTTATTCTTATATTATTATTTATTAACTAATTATTATTTGTGTTAATGGTCTTGATATTATTTTGTATCCTTGTTGACGATTCGTCTTTTAGGTAATGATGGCTGGTAATTTAACCAATGACCAATGAAAGTAGATGCTTAAACAATACTCTATCCCTACTTTTTCCCCATCCCTAAATTATTAAGAAAAATTTACATGCAAATAGTTTTTTAATTTTATTTTCAATTATGCTCAACATTATTTTCTATTAGTTTCAGGTGTACAGCATAAGGTTAGACAATCATATACTTTACAAAGTGTTCCCCATAGTGTTTCAAGTTACCACCTGGTACCATACATAGTTATTGCAATATTGTTGACTAAATTCCCAGTGCTTTACTTAACATCTCCATGATTATTTTGTACTTCTTAATCCTTTATCTCTTTCACCCAGCCCCCTAATCCCACTCCCTTTGGCATCCATCAGTCTGTTCTCTGTATCTATACATCTGTTTCTATTTTGTTTGTTTGTTTTATTCTTTAGATTCCACATATAGGTGAATTCATATACATTTGTCTTTCTCTTCCTAGCTTATTTCATTAACATAATACCTTCTAGGTCCACCCATGCTGTTGGAAGTGGTAAGATTTCATTATTTTTTATGGCTGAATAGTATTCCGTAGTATGTAAGTACCACAGCTTTTTTATCCACTTACCTACTGATAGGTACTTAGGCTGTTTCCAAATCTTGGCTAAGTAATCTTAGAAGTAACACTGCAATGAACATACAGGTATGTAAGTTCTTTTGAATTAGTGTTTTGGGTTTCTTCAGGTATATAACCAGAAGTAGAATCACGGGGTTATAAGGCACTTCCATTTTTAATTTTCTGAGGAACCTCTACACCATTTTCCCACTGTGGCTTATATGCAAACATCTTGATGGCTGATTTTTAAAAACTTATTTGGGTAATATTAACTGAGAGGCCATGAACATGAATACAATGCTGGACACTATAACAAACACTTCACACTTGTATTTGCAAATAACCCCATGTTGTGGATGAGCAATCTGAGGCTAAGAGGGGTTAAGTAATATGTCAAAGGCCACACACCCAATAAATCGTAGAGCGAGGCAATCTTATTCCAGAGATCAAACTATTAATCAGGATGCTATATACTGCTTCCCAGAGGTTTGGGCACTTTGTAAACACAACTTGGAAATTCTCCAAACCGTATAGGTTTACCTGATAAAAACTTCTGGGACTTCTCACATTGCTATTGACATCGCCCAAGCGTCTTAGCATCAATTTTTATGAAGACCATAATTCATCAAATATAAATTATATTCACTAAGAGACTTGGCACTTAACAATTCTACTTTGTCAGTATTGAATCACATGTTATCCTTATGAATATATAATTCTAGTAGCATCAATGAGAAAAAAGAAATAAATGGTCTAAGGTTTGGTTAAGATTTCAACCTAGTCTTCCTAAACTCCAAATTTTTGAGTCCTCTCTGAACCTTTATTCTCCCTCAGCTCTCATATCTTATTAGTAACCCAGTCTTACATCTTCCTTTAAAGTATCTTTTTTGTCACTTCTTTCCACATCTTCTGCTAAAAGTCTAATTTATGTCCTCAATACCTCACTCCCAGATTATGGTCTACCTCAGAACTGGTCTTCCTGTCTCCAGTGATTTCATTAAGCTTGCATATTTTTCTTTTGGCAGCACAGTGAGATAATTTATCAAAGAGCCTCTCTTGAAAAGAGACTAAAAAATATTTGTAAAATATCTGTAAGAATCAACACTAAATACTACATAGATGAAATCCCTATAATGGATTATATCACAGCAATATTTGAACACTATATTCAGTTCACAAAAGTTTCTCTATTTGCCATAGTACTAGGAGGAAAAGAGAGAAAAAAAGATAATTGAAGAAAAATTTTGATGATGTAGTTCTCTTATAAATTGGGAACAATGACCCTTGAAGGACCATAAAGAAAGTGAATGTCAAGATAATTTATTATTGTTACATTATCTACCTCATTTTTTACTTTGTCTTACTGAGCTGTGATATCCTTACGGGCTACCAAATATCCCAAACATTAATGAACACCTTACCAGTGTACCAAAAGCAAGATTAAAAAGAGCTAAAACAAAGAGCTGGTGACCTGCTTGCTCCTCTACTGCTACTTTAATATCAGAAATGTTATCCAGAATGGGCAATGCATATCATTAATGTATAAGGTTTCAGATTTAGAAGGTAGCTGTATGTGTTTATGTAGGTTTGCAACCCTTTCTGAAGCTGATATGCTTCCTTTCCCTGACTGACTGGACTCCTCTTGTGATTTACGGTGGGTTTTTGTTTTCATTGTAGAAGAGCCAGTTTCTATGCATGCCGGTTGGACAAACATTTATACGTTATTGGTGGAAGGAATGAAACCGGCTATTTGTCCAGCGTGGAGTGCTATAACCTAGAAACGAACGAATGGCGTTATGTGTCCTCTTTGCCACAGCCTCTGGCAGCTCACGCAGGAGCAGTGCACAACGGGAAAATATATATTTCAGGCAAGTCATTCCTCCACATTCTGTTACAAAGTTCAGTTCCAAGGCACTTTCTTGACCTGTATGTATGTTTAATTCACAGGGGGTGTACACAATGGAGAATATGTCCCATGGCTATATTGCTATGACCCCGTGATGGATGTCTGGGCTCGAAAACAAGATATGAACACAAAACGTGCCATCCACACTTTGGCTGTAATGAATGATCGCTTGTATGCAATTGGAGGAAATCATTTGAAAGGTCTTCTTTAAATCACAATAATATCTGCATGTTATGTTTCTTGCTAAGGGGGTTTCTCGTTAGATAATCGTAGTTAATTTAACCAAGCAAAAACTACGTTGACCAAATAAAATTTACTCTGTGTGAATTACCAGTACCCTTGGGCAAGCATTTATTTTGGCTCCTCTGCAGATAGGATTATTTTTGTTACCACACACATTAAGGAAATGAATAATGATATCGATAGAAAATTTTAAAAAAGAAAGCATTAATAACTGAGAAAGCACAATTTGTTGTAATGTTGAATTCAGTAAAATAATTTATCCATTTTCATCAGTTATAGTAAAGGATTTTGTCCAGAAAATTGTTTTCTGTAGTAATCATAAAAAGTTCAGTCATTGCTGTGCAAAGAAGCTAATATGTGATTTTCCTTGAAGAAAACACTTAGAATTTCATGTCTAAATTTTGAATTATCTTCTTTAAGAACCATCTATAATTCTCAAATTTTTTCTCTTTGCTTTTTTTAAGTAAAAAAATATTAAATCATAATATTTCTAGAGCCATGTCTTGGTTCCTTCCCTTCTCCATATTTGTATATGCCTGCAGCTTTTTGTAGTATGTGCATATATGTAACTTTATGTGCATTTATATAACACCGAATTTGATAGAAAAACAGAGAGATATATGATATTGAGAATGTTATTAAATGCTCTGGGCCTCAATTTCCTCATCTGAAAATGAAGAAACTGGTCTGGTTGGTCTCTAAAATCTGCAGCTCTGACCTTCCATAATCTTTGAAATGGAAATAAAGGAAAACTCTGCCAGTGGGTATGGTAGGTAAGGGCCATCTGTGCATTATTTTTCAATTAGACCCATCTTTAAAAATAGGTTAGACATAGACATTTTTCTATTTTCCTTAATACATATATACCCCTAAATGTAATAAAGACCAGATAAATATAATTTTTGTGTAAATATATCCATATTCATATTGAATCAGAAATGTCATTTTCCTGGTCTCGGTCTGCCGCTCATCTTCAAGCTTTCACCAGTGGAAAAGAATTGTCTTTACTGCTGCAACTCTTCCCTCTTATTCTTCTTCTCTTTCACTGGTGCTCCTTCACGTCAACCCATACATCATGCCTTTTCACCAATATGTTTTATATTGACATTGTAGCTTGCTGTGTTAAAATATGATTTCTTTGCACCAGAATGCCTAGCTATTTTAGGAGATTATAATATTTATGGTTATACTTGGGCAGGGAAGATTTGGGTAATAAAGTAAATGAGAAGTAGTATACATACATCAAGTTAGATTGGCTCAGGGAGGCGATGTGGCGTAGAGGAAAGGGTCTGGACTTTGCATCCAAGCTCAGGTTTGAATCCCAGCGCTGTACTTAGAGTTGTGCGGTCTTACTCATGGCACTTAATCTCACGTCTGTAAACAAGGGATAGTGATCCTCTCCTTGGTAGTTGTAACAATTACAGTCAACAAATGGAAGACATTTACTTGGTCCAGAAAAAGCACATATATTCTCATACAGTGCCACTAGACCCTTAGAACCAGGGATGTGTCCAAATCCTCATTGCAGGTATATATGCTTCAAAAATGTTTTATCACCTGTCGTAATGGTAAAGGAAAGGAATATACCACAGAGTTGCAGGAAGCACATTGCTCTGTTGTTTGAAAACCTATATGACTTACTTTATGTAAAAAGTCAGTGACCTGAAATACTCTGTCTGCCTCTTCAAAAAAAAAAAGTAAAATCTTTTTACTTTTGGGTCTACCCTCACAATTAATTTGAACAATCCAGTATTTTTTGTAATTATATTATGTGCATTGTAATTGTCAGCTAGCAAATACCTACACAATGCATTTAACTAGGAAAAAAATCATTAAAGATTTAGTTTGCTCAGTGACCATGAAGCTCCCACTTGGGATTTTTGACTCATTAAATTAAAAGCAGGGATCCAATAGAGTCCAGTAACCTAAATTGTTCTCTGTGACCTAGTGACTTCCCCAGCCACTGAGAAACTTTATCAGAAGTGGGAAGAGAAGCCCTTCAGTAGAAGTTAGCCCCCTACTCAAAACCTTGATCCTTAGTAGATACTGGAAATGGTTCACATCACCATAGCTGTTTATAAATATAATCAGGCTATGAAAAAAGTAGAATATGCTGAACAACAAATTTAAATTAATTAAAACATTGTGAGAGAGTTAACTGCTCCTTTAAGAAAATCAGTATAGTTCAGTCTGTAAAAGTGTGAACTTCAAAGCCTGTTCACTGGATTCAAATCTCAGCCTATCTACCTATTGACCATGTGACTTAGTCAAGTAATTAATTCTGTCTGCCCTTCAGTTTCCTCATCTATAAAATGAATATAATGTTATTATAACTATCTAATAGGATGATTGATGGGATTAAATGGGTTCATTTATGTAAAGGACTTTAATAAGTTATAAAATGCTTGCTTTAACTGTAATTATTTTAAACCTTTTAAAAGAGCTTTAAGAAACCATTGTTTAATAAGAACTACCCCCATGTAATCAACCAATGACATCTAGTCATGTATTTTTGCTTTGAATTTATCTGAAACACCAGAGTTGGGTTGTTGGTTTGTTTTGGGTCTTTCTGACATATCTCTTAATTTCACCAGTAGATTTATACATTTGTGCCTTAAAGACACAATTATCTGCTTTTTTGGCTTTAGACCTTTTTTTTTTTTTTAAAGAAGTCCTAGCCTTAAACTGGGACCATGAGAGTTTATTCTTTGTAATTCCATCTTGTTATGTCACTAGGTTTCTCCCACCTTGATGTAATGCTCGTGGAATGCTATGACCCAAAAGGTGACCAGTGGAATATTCTCCAAACTCCCATTTTGGAGGGTCGAAGCGGTCCTGGCTGTGCGGTGCTCGATGATAGCATTTACCTTGTGGGAGGCTACAGCTGGAGCATGGTATGTCCCCATTCTGAACTGCTCCTCCTCCTTTTTGTTCCTGCTTACTTTTTGTTTCCCTCAAAATGTGTTATCAGCCACGCATGTACCTTTTAAGAGTATCATGCTTATGTGCAAACAGCAAATTACTTTAAGTAATAGAAGCAGGGTGGTTGCTGTGGAGCTGGTGTGCTCTCTGAACAACTGTATCATAAAATGAGTTAGGTCTCTGGTTCTCTTCCTTCCCTGTGCTTCTGCAATTATGTCTTTCCAACTAAGAGTTAGGCCAAGTGGTTTTACCAATGTTCTCTTGAAATTGTTCGAAATGGAGAGCCTGAGAAGTTCCTGACCAGTAATGTATGAAAATGGAAATCAGTTATTCAGTATCTACAAATTCTATTTAGGATATGTAATTGGCCATTGTGTTTCACTTTTCCCCCCTCTTTAGCATTAAAATTTCCAAACATCCACCAAAATTGAGAGTACAATGGGCCTTTGTTAGCACATCATCCAACTTCAACATCCATCAGCATTTTGCCATACTTCATTTATCCTTCCTTTAAAAAATTCTTACTGAAGCAATTTGAAGCAAATTCTAGACATCATATATGATTTTACCCTAAATGTGTCAGTATTTATCTTTTAAAAAAATCATTTCATTTGTGTAAGCACACTGTCATTATCACACCAAATTAACAATAATTTCTTCATATCCTATCTATATTTAAACTCTTATTCATTGGAAAAAGATGTATTTTTCAAATCAGTATATTAAAACAAGTCTCATTTGTATTAGTTATTACCTCTGACACATTTCCTGCAGACTGGAACGTTACCCCTGTCCCATTTCTTGTTCCATGCCATTGACTTGTTGAAAAAGTAGGGTCAATTATCATATCAAATATCCAGCACTCTGCAATTAGCTAATGACTTCCTTGTGGTGTCATTTAAAATCGTCTTGTCCCCCCATTTCCTATAGACAGGAAGTTAGAGATAAGAGCTGAAGTCCAGCTGTTCTCTTTTAAAAAACATTGTTATTTATTTTTGGCAAAAAGCGCTTGAGGAAGTGGCTCTATAGTTCAAATCACTTCACATCAGGAGACACGTTGCGTATAGTAGTCTACATAATCACTTTTTAAATGATGACAGTTTCCCTTTTCTTATTTCTATGCATTGCTTTTGTAAGATTAATCTGCGGTTTTAATAACATGAGTTTTATTTCTTTGGCATCAAGTAAGTTTGTTTTATTAAATTCGGGAGGAGCTTTAAACAGCTATTAATTATATGGAGGCAAGTATGTATTGACATATATAACTAGCTATTTGTACATTTGCCTGTTTGCTGGCACAAATCACTAGCCGCCGGAATACACGTGTTTGGTACCGGACACCAGGAGTACACTTTCAGAAAATGATTGTTAGTTTGGTAGGGAATTTTGTTTGTTGCCTGTAATAAAAAGAAAGCTGCTTTAGTCCGGGAAGGGAACTGTTATACAAGCACTAACCCCAGAGATTGACAAAGGAAAAAACATTTTCTGTTTGTTTGTTTCTACGTGGCCTCTTGAAAATAAATAAATCATGTGGCTTCTTGCACATAAATAAATCAGTGTGCAAAGAAATCGGCAAGCTTTTATTTCCAGTTTATTCTAAAATGGTTTTGAATCCCAGCTCTAATTCTCTCTACAGTAGTAAAATAAAATTGGAAACATGAGGCAACAATCTAAAATCCAATTTATTTCAATTATTTGACTATTTAAGGTGAATTTTCTAAAACTTAAACCAGCAGGGTAATTTCTAATTTTTTTGGTAAATTATTTTAAGGGATTTGTTGATCACTTAGGATGTTCCAGGCACTTGAGTTTTATTATTAGTCACACAGCAGATTTAAAATCACAGCAGATTTTAAAATCTTGTCACTCTCAAATTTCACTTTGGATTAAAACAGTTTAAAATCCATTGCTTTCATTTCGAAGTTTTTAAACAAAAGCTGAGTATCGATACTGTCTTTGCAAGGTAAATGTCATGAATAAGGTTGCCATTGCATTTGTCTGAATTATCTTCCCTAAATGTTCCCTGTTCTACCGTTACAGGGGGCCTACAAGTCATCTACAATATGCTATTGTCCAGAAAAAGGCTCCTGGACAGAACTGGAAGGAGATGTAGCAGAACCACTGGCAGGCCCGGCCTGTGCCACTGTTGTCCTGCCCGCCTGTGTACCTTACAATAAATAACACCAGGAACCCTGGAATAAACAGTATTCCATTCTAGGAAATAATGACGGGTGACATCACTCTTAGAACTAGGAACAGAGCGTTTGAATGGTACAACTGCCGAAACCCACCTTTGGTTGCTGATGACTTACAAGTAACTGCAAAAGAAAAAGACCTGTTCTTAAACAGATACTGTCTGTAACTCAGATCACAGCAAACTTCCCGTGGTGACAAACTCCATTTCAGACTGGTTTTAACTTGTCCCAGCTTTACAAAAACTCCTCCTGTGGATCTTAACTTTCAAAAGGAGAAAGATAAAATACAGAAGAGCGCCCTCAGAGAGACCTAAGATCAGTATTGTGCATTGTAGTCTACCTGCATGTGATCTATGTTGAAGTTTTGGGGATATTGTGTTCATGGATGATTCAAAACGGGACCCACTGAAATACTTCCCCTGCATTCCAGAAATTGCCACTTCATTTTATATTCCTAACCTGTGGCTATTCACAGACTCCATAGGCAACAGAGTTATAGAAAATCACATAAGATTAAAGAGAAACACTTTCATTTCCATATAACTTTATTTCATATACCTTCTGCCCCTTACAGCCTCGTGGGATCAGAGATGAGAAAGATGCTGGGTCTTACAGCAATTGCTTTCTTCCCTGTAGCCTCCATGCTAGCCAAAGTCATCATTTCTGCATCCTCAATTTTATCTGAAAGATTAAAACAAAATACACTGTCACTCTTCAGATCATGGAGGCTTTCTCACTTTTTCTGCAGTATATAAATAAGTAGTGAACACACCTGTTATTTGCTTCAAACAATGGGATTGTCAGGCAGTCGTACAATATTGTGTTTTCTGTTGGATGACATATCTGACCCAAACAACCCACAGTAAAAACTGGGAGGTTGCTTTCAGTAATTTGGGAACAGAAAGAAGACCTAATTCCTTTTAACTACGGTCCTAGTTGTCCCTCTGTCCCTAAAACACACAATTTAAAATGGCCACAGGAGCAAATTATAGCTCCTAACAAATACTTCCCCTTCTTCCTTACCCTGGCTCTAGATACAGCTTTAGATTTGGCTCTAGGAAAAGCAATGACTTATCCTAATTATTCCCCCAACTCATCACATATGTTTGTTATCACCAGAGACGCCTGAGCCCATTTGAGCGAGCAATTGCTAGTTGTCTTTAGAAGCCTGAGAAATGTAGGATCTGAAGAGCAGGAGAGTATGAGATCACCTGAGTGTGGCCAGTCAAAAGAACCAAACTAGCAGGAATAGGAATTTGATTTTCAAGCTCTTCAGATCTGAAACAACATCTGTTACGAGTACATAAAAAATCCTAAAGTACTTCTTTAATCACCCAGAGATGTTGTTGAATCCCTCAACAAATGTGTCATTCAAAACACCACCACGGGGGAAGCCACAGATTAAAAATGCCTGGCGATAAGCTTCGCTGCGGAACACGCCAAGATGGACAGGTGTCCTGAAATCCAATGCCCTTTCCACAGTCAAGTGCAATCTTCGTTGTTTTTGTATTTATTTGTATGTTCAGATCCAAAGGATCCGTTGTAAAAAATATATATATAAATATATATCCAGTGCAATTAACTTTCATTTCTTTTTCCTTGAAAGCATATGAATATAGAGAGAGAGAGAAAAGTTACAGTACTTTGCGGGAACATCCCAGCTGACATCGCAAAGAGAACAAGGTCTGCTTCAAAACCTTTTACCACCAACTGTCACCGTTGAGTCTGAATGTCTCAGTTTATATGAGGATATTTGCTTTCCTTAGGCTGGTTCTTCATTTATTTTTTATTTCTAGCCAAAATAAATAAAAACATTTATGAGAACTATAAGTAAAGCTTTCTGTATTTCAGAAAGACACAACTATTAGAAAGTGAAACATGAATAAATAAGTCACAGAAGATGTAAATTTTGTACAGTATTAGAATGTGTAAATGAAGCTTGCTTGGAAGGGGAAAACTTTAAATAAAAACTTTATGTACTAATTCAACTGTCTCTCATATTTCTACTTATAAAGCCTATGTATAAATCTCTACATTGAATTGCTTAAATGTTTATAATATACAAAGGCCTAAATATTTTTTTTTATTCTGCAGTATATTTTACAAGTTTATTTAGCTTCCTAGCAACATATAAATGTATACAGTATGGACGATGCTAAAAATTATGGGATGCTTCAGGGAAAATGTTGTGAGTTGAATCTGATTTTTCCACTGTAAGACTGTTACAGTAAGGCATAACTTGTCCCAGATCTAATAGCTAAGTACTTACAGAAATTATGAGAAGCACCATATATATTAAATAATACTTGTATACTTTCTAAAGAATAAGTGAGCCACACATTTAATTTTTTAAAGATTTTTTAAACTTATTTTTAGAGAGAGGAAGGGAGGGAGAAACATCAGGAGAAGCAGATCGGTTGCCTCTTGCACACACCCCAACCAGGGACTGGCCCACAACCCCGACATGTGCCCTGACCAGGAATCGAACCAATGACCTTTTGCTATGAGGGATGATGCACAACAACTGAGCCATGCTGGTCAAGGCAAGAATAAGTGAACCACACATTTAATTAGATAAATTCCCTAAATACATTTAATTTTATTTTCTTTGTTAAAAAAAAATCTGAAAAAGGTTGTAGGGTAAGGAAAGAGGCTGTGGGAGACAATGGGAGAAAGTGAGGCATGTAGCTGATGGTGGTAGTTGGGCAGCCTACCAAGTAAAGAGTTACGAAGTGTTGGAAGCTACTTCCTGAAGCTTGTAATCTAGAAAGAATCTACTTTAATGCTTCCCATTTAAATCTACCATTATTGGGGATTAAACTCACAAAGGATTATTTGATCCTTCCTAGTATTTCATGGAACAAGAGTAGTGAGATTTCTGTCTTCTTCCCCTGAACCTTCACCCCTCAACGCTAGCGTGGCATACTAAAAGAAGGCCCCTCTCTATGGTAGCCTCTGTTACCACCTTCTCCAGATTATTCGATGGCTGGTTGTTCTTGAAGGGCTTCTTCTAAATGCCCTGAGTCTCCAAGAGCTCTAGTGCTGACCAGCTATCAAGAGCAATTAAGTGAATATAATTTTTTCCTTAATCCCAAGCAACCACCTACTTTAAGTCCATAACTAAACTGGCTAAAACTGGGAGAGTGAGCATAGGGACCAGGGCTTTTAATTAATTGATTGTGTCTGCAGACTTAAAGTTATTACCTGCATTTTCTCCACCTATTAAAACCAAATTTTCCCAGCTGCTTGACACTTACATCACTTAACATATTGTCAAAATTATTAACATTGTAAGTATCAAGTATTTATTGAATATATCCCAAAAGACAACACATAAATGCCAGAGTTCTCATTAAGTTGGGCTCTCCAGGTCAAAATATTTTTAAGATGAATGACTAAATGGGCCAAAATAGGATCAGTAAGTATCCCAAAGCCAATTAATACACATTAGTGGGTATGTTGATAGACTGAATTCCTACAGATAGGGTAGCAGGAAGATTCTGACTGATCAAGCATGACTTCCTAGAAGAACCTGACTAGAGGATGTTGAACTTTGATAGAAAATAAAATGGCAATGAGAGGCAAAAAAGCCACACTAAGAAAATATCCAAATAGGGTGTTTGCCTTGTGTAGCTGTAACTGTATACTAATGCTCTGGATAGTGTATTAAGTGTGGACCAATTATTAGATGGGGTTTCTTAAAGGAGGTATTTAACATTTTTAACTCTGTAGGCTTGATACAGTGACAAACAGTTCAGTTCTAGAGATGCATATGGAAAATGTGCTTCAAAAATACAACACAAAAGTTTAGGAATGAGAAAAAATAATCTACAAATTGTGCGGCTTATTCTATTTTATTCTATTCTAAGCTTGTCTGCATATGTTAAGAACTCGGGAAATCTCAGTTCTTCATAGTAGGAGCAGTAGTAGTACCTTAGTGTTTTTAACTCTCTAATGGTGCTAAAAACAAGATGGTGTTGGAGTGGGCTGATGTGAAAGACTATGTTATTGCTCAGGCTCTGAAGATTTAGATTATTTGAGGCAAAGTAATCCCTGATGGTAACCTCCCCTTTCATTTTTTACATCTTAAGCTGACTCCCCCTCTGTGACCTTCCAATCTTTCATGTACAACAAAATGACATTTTGGGGTGGGCAGGGTGGGGCAGGTAAACATTTGGCTGCAGGACAAAGGTCATCCCACATTTAGAGACATAGCATGCTCCTGGCTTCCAATTAAGTTGCTCAAATTGAGAATATTTGGGAACTGATTGAGCTAAGTTTTTAAAGAGGAATAAAAAAAAGAGCATTTAGTTATTAATTCAAAGTTATTATATCAACAATATTATATAATGCCTCCACTAACTGAATGTTTACTATGAGTCAGGATGCTGGGCATTTTATACTTATTTCCTTATTTACTCCTCTGAACAGCTCTACAAGGTAAATGTTATTCGTATATTAAAGGTAGGGACACCTATGCTCAGAAAAGATAAACTAGTTGATAAAGTTAAACGGCTGATAACTAACAGAGCTAGGATTCACACCAAGTCGTTAAATCTAAGGTCATCTCAAATTACCAGTCTCCTGCTCACAAAGAAATTGCTTAAGTCAATCACTTGAAGTCCTGTAGGAATTCCTGGTGGATTGGCTGTTTTTTCTACATATGAAGAGAATGTGCTGGAGGGGAAAGTGCACAATTAATGATGGCGTATTATGGTTAATGCTATATTGGTGAGAATGAACTACTGGGAAACACAGAAGTAAGCAGAGCTAGCAGGAACTTGCTCTGTGACCTTGGGAGACCATTCAGTTTCTCCATCTTTAAGTTTGTTATCTGTATATGGAGTGATAATTTTTTCCTTTAAAAAACCATTGTGAAAATCATTTGTAAAGAATATGAAAACACTATACCTTGTAAACTCCGAACTAAAATACATTACATGTATCAGCTGTTGGGATGTGATGACTAAGTTCAAGTTTTAGACT